TGGTTAGATCGGTTGGATCCAGTAGTAAAGAATCTTGTGGCTACCTATAAAGGCGAAATCGATCAGGATTATTGGAGCAAAATTTGTTCGAGGAGAAGTTTTGGATCAGGTCCATCAAACATCTCGGGATGGATGCTAGGCTTCTTTCCATATGATCGTACTGGGGAGCCTATAAAGTACAACTCGCTTGAACCGGAAGATATTCCAAATGGAAGAGTGGCAGTTCCATTTACAACTGACGGGGGTTTAAAGTTAAAGTTTATTGCGGGATTTGTAGGGGCAAATCAAGAGGTCCTTGAAAATTCGAACGAAGTCGTTATTTCACCGGTTATTGGATGGTCCGTTATTGACCACGTGGAGGATGAAAAAACTCATACTTGATTTTTACAGTTTTTGTGTATATACTATCTCGTTGAAATGTCTAAACCCTGATATTTATTTTTCCTCTTGGTATTTCGAAACTATTTCTGTACGTATTTACATAAATATACTGTATTTTGGTGACGCATTTGATAAATAAAATGAGGGTAAAAGAAAAAATAATTCTTTCGGGATGTCTGTATGAATGTCATTTTCGCTTAATAGTAAAGTTGGAAGATGATTTAAAAGGAGGTTTGCATAAAAGACATGTACAATATGTTAAATATGAAAGACAAATTAAATATTATAATCGTACAATTTTATGTTTATGACACAATAGAAAATTTGTCAATATGTTTAAAATGAAATTTTACCTTGGGTAAAAATCTGATTTATTTTTTATCCTATACTGCCAACAGGTTACCATGTTCATTTAACCTTGAATTCTGGTGCTCAATAATATTTTATTCATTTCGCATTTCTTTTTTATTGTCATATTTTCGAACATACTGTATTTTCGATTACAAAAATCTTTTTTCTTATAATGGCGGAAACCTTTCCTGGCAAATAAAGCCTATTGACAAACTGTTATAATCAGATATACGGCAATTATGGCCTCAAATTGATCGATTTGAAAATTTCTTTATATGCATGCACTTTCATCATGTACACTCCCCTGCCATTAATCACCAGACGTCAATCAATTTTTGATATGATCGGCGAACGCAAGAAATCATTAAAAATTTTTTTTTGTGCCATTATTGATGACACATTGTATAAAATTTA